ATCCCAACTCTCAATGTTGTAAAACACGTGTATTTCTTGCTGTGTGTGATTGTTAAAAAAAAAAAAAAAAAATCGGAAAAAATGTTTGTAATAACAATAAAAAAATCTATTACTTATGCATTACTTCCCTTGGCTCCCCCCTCACACCTCCAACTATCTGTTTAATTCACAATTTCATTTGAATTTTATTTTTCTGTTTTTGCATATTTCACTTTGTTTTGTCCATGTTTTTCCCATTTGCCCCCCTTTTGATCGTTTTCCAATTCAATTTTCTTGTAATTTTTACCTTGTTTGTCTTTTTTGTTTTCTTTTTCTCTTTTGCGATTTGTGTTTGTTCTCTCGTTTGTTGTTGTTATTGTACCTTGTACCTTGTTCCTTTCATAATCAAAACAATTCCTATGCTATTTCGTGCATTCCCACTCAACGTCTACCTCCCCCACACTCATAACCCCCCAACTTCCTTTGACTATCCCTACTTCCTTCCTTGCCTTCCCCCTCTCTCTCACTCTGTCACTGTCTCTGTGTGTGCGTGCGTGTGTGTATGTGTGTGTGTACGTGCGGAAATCATGTATTAATCAAACAAGATCCAGGCGGCCAGCTCAATCATCATCCGGACGGGGCGGAAATGCTGGCGGTGTCCAACTAGCACAAGGCGATGAAGCCTACACACGCCTAGCCACCGATACTATTGAGGAACTAGATTGGTGTTTGGATCAACTGGAGACCATACAAACGCATCGCAGTGTCTCTGACATGGCGTCGCTAAAGGTGCGTCTAAACGACCTCTATCGACTAAATCGACAACTAATCACATTATGTATCATCTCTATTTATCGAACAGTTCAAACGCATGCTCAACAAGGAGCTATCACACTTCAGCGAGTCCAGCAGATCGGGCAATCAAATATCCGAGTATATTTGTTCAACATTTTTGGGTAAGTTCGACAATCTATGAATAGAGATCATAAAACTTGCAGAAATTTGTATGGGTAGTGATTGTTATCGGTACATTTCATGTAAATCTTTAAGAACAGAATTACAATAGAAAGTTTGGTAGAATTATCTTTCGTATACTTCAATATATAATTTTTTCGTCAAAAATAATTTTACCAATTCTATTCTAATAGCCTATATGAACAAAAAATGGCTGTAAACTGGCAGAAAAGGGAAAAGTATAATAATAGTTAGAATAGATAGGAGATTTACACTCAGAAATACATCCAACTTGCATCCAGGAAAAAAATGGTTAAAGCGCGTTTTTCCAAGGCTTAGGAGGGTTACAGAGAAGTCCATGAGAGTTGGTGCAAAATATAGTGTATATATAGAAATGAATCCATAACTAAATATTGGACAGCAAAAATATATAGAAATCTTGAAAAAATCGTTTGCATTTGAAGTATGCACACAAAGATGCTTCCAAGAACCTAAGCCAGCTCAACTGGCTGCTTGTCTGTATTTGATGACATTTTTGATTGTTGTTGCTTTTGCTTTGCACACACAAGCGACGCACACACACAAAAGTATGCAATGAAATTGCATTAACCACAGGAAAGTTCAAGTAGTGCCAACACCAGCCGCGGGCAGCAGCCAACCGCCCCCCACCCGCCACTCATCCAATTAGAACTATGCAAAACAAAAGCAAAAAGTTTTGTGATATGCGAATAGCAACAATGCCACACAGAAAAGAGCTGCACAATGCATAAATGAAAAAGCTGAAAGTAAAACACGACACAGAGAGAGAGAGAGGGAGAAAAGGAGAGTAAAATTAAATATAATAAAAAATGTGGGGGGAAAAGTGGAATAACAGGACTTAAACCAAATCCGTCGAATTGAAAGTGCAAAATTAAATTATGCAGAGCAGCATAAAAACAGATGAAGTGGAAATTTCATTGTTTAACCTACGAAGCCCCCGCCGCCAACACACACCTCAGACCCAGCTCCCTCACCGCTCAAACGCCACCAAACCCCTTTTAGCAGCAGAAAAGAGAGAAAGAAAAACTATGACCACGTTTGACGTTGCCTCGGGACATGCACAAACAAAGGCGCGTAGTGCAAAGCGAAAGAGTTACACACAAAACAAAACAGAGAGGAGAAAACATACCCACACACACAGAGAGACAAAAAAGTGTGCGTGGGCAGGGTCGACGCCTAAAAGTGTGGGTGTGGCCAAGCATAAGGTGGGCAACATATTTGCACATTTGTCCATATTTCTGCTTCGCTGAGCTGAGCCAAAGCCGAACTGAAACGAAACGAAACGGAACGAAACGGAACTTAGCCCGGCTCGAACTCAACTTAAATGGCTAAAATGGGCAGGGCTAGGGCTAAACTGTCCGATTTTTTGTTGTTGTCGTGGTGCTGTCTACCTTTGCGGCCACTAGCGCATTTTATTTTTTGGCCTAAGCCTTTGGTAGTTGCTTTTGTTGTTATTGTAGTTTATCAAGCATAAAATCGCATTTCACCCAAGCCTAGACGGCCGGCACCTATAAACACACACACACACAGAGGCCTACCCTAATGTCTATTTGTAACACTTCATTTGAAACAGAAGCAGCTGCCGACTGGGGCAACCTAAAAGTCACACACACACACACGCACATACATACACATGGCCAGCACAACATAAATGCGTCCGCCCAGTCGATAAGTCGACTCTGCGTATACGCAATGTCCATGGCGTTAGCTGCGTTTGCGAATGCGTGTGTGGCGCCCGCGCTTAATTGAAACGGCTTCACATTAAATTTACATATGTGTGTGGGAGAGAGAGAGAGAGAGTGGGAGAGAAAGAGAGAGAGAGTGTAAATATCTTGTGGCTGTCGCATATGTTAATCAGGCAAATCGTTAAGCTCGAGCGCAAATATAAAAAAAAAAGCAAATGTGAAACGGATTTCAGATTCAAAACTCAAAACCAAAACCAAATCGTATGCAAAATATGTACATATGTCTGCATACACTCACATCACTGAATCTCTCCCTCTGTGTCTGTGTGTGTGTGTGTAGAGTATATATATAAAACAGAAAGAAAGAAAAAAAAAATAACAGCAGGCAGCTGAGACAGCTTTGCGTCGAGCTCGTAGCCGTGGGGCAGGTTAGCGATGTGTTATGGATAGGATACGTGCCAGGCTCTATATGGGCATATGTGCTGGTGTGCGTGTGTGTGTACGTGCGCATGTATGTGTGCATATTTGTTTTCTATGTGCATTTTAAAGAGCTGGCGCTAGACAACAACAACGACATGGAAATACTCTATAGACTAGCTCAAACATAGATAAATATTTACTTCGTATTTCCGAGCAGCAACTTTATTTATTTATTTTGATTTAAGTTCAGCATAGTGAGCTTTGTATGCGTGTGTGTGTCAGTGTGGGAGTGTGGGAGTGTGTGTGTGCTGAAAAGCCTTTAAATTCAATCTGACTCGACTGGCATTAAATGTATATTAAAACAGTTGAAGCCCTTGGGCATAAATAAACATAGCCCCTAACGCGGCTCAGCTTGGCTGAATGAGTGCTGCTTGTTCTAACTGAAATATTAACTAAGCCTTTGCGCTGCGGAAACCATTTCAGATCTGTTGGCTCTTCTATGCACATATTTACTGTTAGCTGTATATTGGACTGCCTAATAAAAGGGCATACATCTAATATTTATATGTATACATTTGATATCAATTCACAACTTTTTCTAATTAACTTTTGCTCGCAGACTGCATTAAAGCTTTGTGCATTGAATATTTCAAAAACTATACCCTGGGATTAGAGGCCATTAGGGCGTATATTAGATGAAATAGGCAGAAAGGGAATTTGAAGTATACATGTATGTAGAAATTTAAAAAATCATCAAACCAAAGGAAAATAAATTAGTTAACTGACTTTGGCAGCTTGCCAAATACGTAAATATGTATTAAAGTAAAGCTAACTATCCTAGTGATATATTAACGTAACGTAAGCGTATATAAACATGAAGGGTACAACCAGACATAGTAAACTAACGTAAGGACACATTATTTAGATCTATACAACGTAATACTATATAAATAATTTAATAAATGAATAAAATATAAATTACGTAATAGTGTCCTACGTCAAATTAAACCACTTAAGTAATGTTATAGTACGCAATAATATATTACGTAAGTGTTAATTACGTATCAGTTCAATATGTATGAATATTTACATATAGCGTAATTGGTTATCACGAAAGCGGCTATAACGTAAGGGCCTATTCCCTAAGCTCTTCTTACGTAAGCGCTTTTACGCATGTACTTATTACGTAATGACTTATTACGTTAGTTTTATTACGTAATGACTTATTACGTAAGTTTATATTACGTAATGACTTATTACGTAAGTTTATATTACGTAATGACTTATTACGTAAGTTTATATTACGTAATGACTTATTACGTAAGTTTATATTACGTAATGACTTATTACGTAAGTTTATATTACGTAATGACTTATTACGTAAGTTTATATTACGTAAGAGTTTTTACGTATGTATTTATTGCGAAAGGGCCTATTACGTAAGCTCATATTACGTAAGAGCTTTTACGTATGTATTTATTACGTACGGGCTTATAACGTAAGGTCCTATTACGTAAGCTCATATTACGTACGGAACTATTACGTATGGGGCTCATTACATAACAACTTTTTATGCAATGCAAAGGTATATTTTGCAAGGATATATTGATGAAAGTAGGGCAAACGAACTGGTCAGATAAATGAACAAGTCAATATATCTCCAAAGACAAACTTTATGATTATTCAAAATAGCCTAGCTTGAGTGCCAACGTGCACAAAAATAAGCTCGAAGATCTATCAGCCAAAGCAGGGTATGTGTCCGCACGTACTCAAACGTATTTATGACTCTTATTGTCTACAGGGTCATTTAAAATTTAAATAAATCTCATTGTATGCACAAGCAATTTGCAATTGTTGCATGGAAAAACACGTTACGCCCCAAAGTAGACAATGCATTTCGGATTGTTGAATATATGAGCAGGCATCTGCATATTTATGGAGAGTTGAGCGTTGCCGAAGGGCAACATGAGTTATACGTCTATATAATCTATATATGATGTGCTCATTTGGTATTGTTTTTGCCATTGCAGACAAGCAGCAAGAGTTCGATTTGCCATCACTGCGCGTCGAAGAGAACCCGGATCACTCGAACTTACAGACCACCACTCAACAGCAGCCGTATCAGCGCAGTCGATCGCCGCGTGGTCCACCCATGTCACAGATCAGCGGCGTGAAACGGCCCTTGTCGCACACGAACAGTTTTACCGGGGAGCGCTTGCCCACGTTCGGCGTAGAGACTTCCAAAGAGAACGAGCTGGGCACTCTGCTCGGGGAACTTGATACGTGGGGCATTGAGATATTCAAAATTGGCGAGCTGAGCTGCAATCGTCCGCTCACCTGTGTGGCATACACCATATTTCAGGTAAGTCAATTGATCAACTGATCATTTACTTTATTATTAGCTATTGTCATTGTCATTGTCATTGTCATTGTCATTGTCATTGTCATTGTCATTGTCATTGTCATTGTCATTGTCATTGTCATTGTCATTGTCATTGTCATTGCCATTGTCATTGTCATTGTCATTGTCATTGTCATTGTCATTGTCATTGTCATTGTCATTATCATTGTCATTGTCATTGTCATTGTCATTGTCATTGCCATTGTCATTGTCATTGTCATTGTCATTGTCATTGTCATTGTCATTGTCATTGTCATTGTCACTGTCATTGTCATTGTCNTCATTTGGTATTGTTTTTGCCATTGCAGACAAGCAGCAAGAGTTCGATTTGCCATCACTGCGCGTCGAAGAGAACCCGGATCACTCGAACTTACAGACCACCACTCAACAGCAGCCGTATCAGCGCAGTCGATCGCCGCGTGGTCCACCCATGTCACAGATCAGCGGCGTGAAACGGCCCTTGTCGCACACGAACAGTTTTACCGGGGAGCGCTTGCCCACGTTCGGCGTAGAGACTTCCAAAGAGAACGAGCTGGGCACTCTGCTCGGGGAACTTGATACGTGGGGCATTGAGATATTCAAAATTGGCGAGCTGAGCTGCAATCGTCCGCTCACCTGTGTGGCATACACCATATTTCAGGTAAGTCAATTGATCAACTGATCATTTACTTTATTATTAGCTATTGTCATTGTCATTGTCATTGTCATTGTCATTGTCATTGTCATTGCCATTGTCATTGTCATTGTCATTGTCATTGTCATTGTCATTGTCATTGTCATTGTCACTGTCATTGTCATTGTCATTGTCATTGTCATTGTCATTGTCATTGTCATTGTCATTGTCATTGTCATTGTCATTGTCATTGTCATTGTCATTGTCATTGTCATTGTCATTGTCATTATCACTGTCGTTGTCATTGTCGTTGTTAATATGTCTCTTCTTTTGCATTTACAGAGTAGAGAATTACTGACCAGTCTTATGATACCACCGAAAACTTTTCTTAACTTTATGACTACTCTGGAGGACCACTACGTCAAAGACAATCCGTTTCACAATTCGCTGCATGCCGCTGACGTGACACAGAGCACAAATGTGCTACTAAATACACCGGCATTGGAAGGTGTATTTACGCCCCTCGAGGTGGGCGGAGCGCTGTTCGCCGCTTGTATACACGATGTTGATCATCCTGGCTTAACCAATCAATTTTTGGTTAATTCAAGTAAACAAAAACATTATTTGCATAGAAATCTTTATAAATATTGATCATGTTTCATTTTTCGTAGGTTCCGAACTAGCATTAATGTACAATGACGAATCTGTTTTGGAAAATCATCATTTAGCTGTTGCCTTCAAATTATTGCAAAATCAAGGATGTGATATATTCTGTAATATGCAAAAGTACGTGATTGCCTAGATGCTCGGAATACTTTGGATATATTGAAGTAATTTATTAATTTCATGATTTTAGGAAACAACGCCAAACATTGAGGAAAATGGTTATTGATATTGTGCTCTCTACGGACATGTCCAAGCACATGAGCCTACTGGCCGATCTGAAAACTATGGTGGAGACCAAGAAAGTGGCCGGATCTGGAGTTCTGCTCCTGGATAACTATACAGATCGCATACAGGTAAGACAATGCAAAATATATATTGAAGGTAATCAGCTTACTATCTCTCTTTTCCCCGCTCTCGCTCTCTTTCATTTGTTCTCTTTAGGTACTTGAAAATCTGGTGCACTGCGCTGATCTGAGCAATCCCACCAAGCCATTGCCGCTGTACAGGCGTTGGGTGGCGCTGCTTATGGAGGAGTTCTTTCTACAGGGCGATAAGGAACGTGAACATGGCATGGACATCAGTCCGATGTGCGATCGCCACAATGCAACCATTGAGAAGTCGCAAGTGGGCTTCATCGATTACATTGTGCATCCACTGTGGGAGACATGGGCCGATCTGGTGCACCCAGATGCCCAAGATATACTCGATACGCTTGAAGAGAACAGAGACTACTATCAGAGCATGATACCGCCATCGCCGCCACCATCGGCCGCCGATGAAATGCCGCAGGACGAGAAGATACGCTTCCAGGTATATAGTACAAAAGAAACAGAATGAGATAATCCCCATCGTAAGCTCATCATCAAGCAATGCGATCAATACTAACGTTTCGATAATTCACTTATAGGTAACGCTCGAAGAGTCCGATCAAGAGAATTTGGCGGAACTGGAGGAGTGCGATGAGAGCGAGAGCCGAGATGCCTGCTCCAGCACAACCACAGGGACAACGGCCCCAAGTGCGGCAGGAGGCGGCTCCGCTGGCGGTGGAAAGCCGTCTGGGAGTCAAAATCAGGCGCCACACGGTGGAATATGACGGAGAGTCGTGGGAATTTATCGCAAATTTACGGAAAAGGCGCATAGCTTCTTCCTAATACGTTAGTGACTATAATTAACAAAACAAAAAATAAGAAAACTTCAACCAAAAATTTAAGAAAATTAAAAAAAAAACTAAACTAAAAACTATAAAAAAAAAACAAAAAAAAAAAAAATCAACAAAAAAAAAACAAAAGATTAAGCAAATGTTTAAAGCATAAAACCAAATCAGCAATAGCTAAAGTACCGTTTAACTTCTAGAGAAAGAACGTAAAGGAAAACATAAAAAAAAACATAGGAAATTAGAAATTTACTTAATGGAAAATAAGATCGATGTGGAATACACTGGAAACCAAAAAGAAAATTAAAAGAAAGAGAACGTAAGAGAAAGAGAAGGAGCAGCATTAACATAACATTAATAAATATCTAATCCCAAAACCTCCCAAGACAAGGCAAACGCGCAAACGAAAAGCAGAGCAAAACAAGAGAAAGAAAAAAGAAGAGAAGCTATCAACAAAATAATCCAAAAATCGTACATAAGCACAACCATAGACGTTTTTACTAATTCGATTCAACTAAATCTTTTGTGTTTTTTAATACTTTTTTAAATGCAAACTCTAGTTTTACCAAAATCCAATTTCTGTTAAATTTAAGTCGACGGCTTGTTTTTTTTTTATCTATATATATAAATTACTTTTTATTATATTGACAAATCAAGGCCAGGAAGGCAACTCTAGAACAACAACAAATAATAATGATAACAAAATTAGTCTTAAGTTTTTTTTTCGCTGGTTTTGATTTTTTAAGAGAGAAAGAAAAAAGTTTGTTTGCATGCATAAATTTACAATTTTAATTATTAATTACGATGATTGATTGATTGATTGAAAACTATTTTATTGAGAGATGACAAAAGCAACACAAAACCAAACAAAATAGAAATATCAAACACTTATTGCAATTAGATCTATAAAAGATATATATATACTGTCAACCTTCCCCTAACCCGCCTAGACGAAAAAAAAAACAAAAATATTTGCAACCCAGTGAATTAAACAATTTATGAAAACAAACAAAAATTCAAATTGAAGCAAAAAATTAACAAAAGATATATATAATATT